TTCCTTCCTTCCTTCCTTCCTTCCTTCCTTCCTTCCTTCCTTCCTTCTTCCCTCCCTCCCTCCCTCCCTTCCTTCCTTCCTTTATGTTTTGGTCTTTTGAGACTTTTGGTTTTGTGTAGCCTTGGCTATCCTAGACTTGCTTTGTAGACCAGCCTGGCCTCAAACTCACAAAGATCCACCTGCCTCTGCCTCCCTGAGTGCTGGGATTACAGGCACCACACTTGGCTCTTTTAGGACTTTCTTTACAAGACTCTTGTTTAGGATCTCTCTCATCTATCTCTAGATTGGTAGCTTAAAGGACTTCTCCTACTAACATCTGGAAACCAAAGAACATTGTCAACAACCCACTGACTGACCTTTGAGGAGGATGAAATGGAAGACAGGCCCTGGGCTCTGTTCTCCCTCTGGTTCTTTGTGGCTCTATAGCGACCCCTTTCCCAGAAATGACAGAAACAGAGATTGTTTTTGGGAAAAAAAAAGTTTCTACTTTCAAAACCCAATGTCTTTCCCTAAGTACAAAATATTTTTTCCAAGAATCCCAGAGGAGGTGTGCACCTTTGTATCTGCTCATACTGCAGCCCTACCGGACCATGGACGGGTTCTTCCCAACATCAGGTTGGTCAGATGTGGAGTGAATAAAGTTGTGCTCTACTTACTTAAAAGAGGAAATAAATATAAACTGCAGTGACACGATCATAACTGGAAGTCAGCAATCTAAGTTGGCAATCCAAGGAAAAAGAATACAAAGAAAAGTCCAAAGAGCTAAAATGCTGTAACAACCAAGCAGAGGGTGGCCATCCCGTCTGTTATTGCATATAATCTTAGACCCCAGGGCCCAATCAAATAGGCTACCCTGAACCCAGGAGTCCCTCAACTGAGCAAGTACATGTAGTAGGAGCAGGTTCAGCAGATCACAGGCTTTCACATCGGCTAATGCTGTGTACATTGAGATATACAAATTCCCTGGCCCTCCCCTGCCCACCAACCTCTGAGATCTGAATGGTCGTACTCACCAGTAAGCGCCTACAATAGCCAAAGCGCCTGCTACCATCTTCCCCAGTCAGCATGAAAGAAAAGGTCTCACTGAAACAGGAGAGAGGGAGAGGTTTGGTATCAAAGAAGTTATGAAGAGAGCTCAGGACACAGTTTCCCAAATAGGGACTGTCATCTCAGGTGTGGGATAAAGATTCAGGTTACTATAAGAAAGTAAGCTAAAAATAAATAAATAAACAAATAAACAATAAAAAAGAAAGAAAGAACAAAGTAGGCTGAGTCTAGGGCAAGCCCCCCCGTTCAGTTGTACACTGCTATGGGGGAGAATGAGTGTATGTTCTCTTCCTCACTACAGCTAGACCAGGCCAGGCCTCACCTGCTGTATTCTGACACAGGGAGCCAGTCCTTGGCATCTGGAAAGCAAAACTGGGGAATAGCTTTGAGCCTTTCTTCTGCCTCCCGCATCTGCTTGGTGGGTCGGTCCAGCTGCAGGGAAGAGGAATATGAGGAGAAGTAACTGAAACAAGGACCCTGGGAGTAGTAGGGGAACTAGAGCTGAGATCTCTTCTTGTGTGCTGGCGGTACGGATGCAAACAAAATGGACAAGATCCACCCCCAACCCTGCACATTCTGGTCAGGAGAGTGAGGTAACCAACATTTCCGAGGGCACTTCGAATGAGACAAGCAAAGTGGAGTGAAAGAGAAGTATGCAAGAGAGAAGCTGCACCAGGCTTCTGAAAAGGCCTCAGCAGGGATCACATCACTTCTGCTGCCTGAAAGTAAAGGAGCATCCAGGGAGACAGCAGGACAGAACACTGCAGGCAAGAAGAGCGGAGATGTCTGTGGCCTTCAGAGACTGCTGCTGAGCAGAGGGGCACTAAGACAAAAAGCAGTGGGTGAGGCCAGGGACTGCCTGCTAATGAGTAGGGGGAGTTGTTTAGGAGATGGTAAAGTGTTCTAAAACTGAGTGGAGGATGATGCAACTCTGAGAATGCACTAAAGGGCACTGAATTGTAAATATGAATGGGTGAATTATCTCTTTATAAAGTGGCTGACAACACTCAGGGAGGCAGAGGCACATGGATCTCTGTGAGTTTGAGGCCAGCCTGGTCAACAAAGTAAGTCTAGGACAGCCAAGGCTACCAGAGAAACCCTATCTTGAAAAACCAAACAAACCAAACCAAAACAACAATAAGAAAGTAGTTGCTGAGAGAATGAGCTAGAGAGCTAGAAGGAGCATCTGGGGTGTTTTCTTGAAGCCCTGCTACCCTGGGGAAGGGTGCTCTAAGCAAGCAGTGCCCCAAGCACCAGAAGCTCCGTCTTCTCTCTTGTGAAGAGGCCCGGGTACAGTCACTGGGGGGAGCTAAAAAGGAAGGGATATTTCCTCTTCTTAGATGGGTCAGCAAGCAGAAGAGGGCAGGGAAGGGAGACAGGCAGGTAGGCATGCTCACCTTGGGAAACTGGTAGGAGACTTCAGGGAGGTAGGTGTTCCGAGATGGCTTCTTCTTGAGGGACACAACCACAAAGTACTCAAAGAGCTCCCGTTCCTGCCATTCAAGTAGCTCCAGCTCCAGTGTCCGATAGCTGGGTGCACGTTTCAGCATCGACTGGATGTGTACCAAGCGCTGTGTGTGGGCTGGGAGCAGGTCTCACATTAGGAGACAAGCAGATTGGCCACTCAAAGACCTCCCATCAGCTCCTTCCACCTGACTCAGAGCTCCATCTCTGGATGACTTCTAGGCAGCAGGTCTAGGAGATGGGTACTGGTACCTGAACCTACATAATAACTGTACTAATGCAAGGAGCTAGTGTGCTGATCTTGAAAGCTGAGCTGAAGCTAAAGGATTGCCTAGGCTAGGCTTGCCTTGGGATGCACCACTAGCAGATAACTATAGTTCCTGTCAGCACAGAAGGTATGAACCAGGAAGTCAAATATCCACAATGGCTTTATCACTGAACCCCTAATTGGAGTCCTGGTAGTTAGACCTTTTATCTCTGTCTCAAAGTCAAAGTTAGCTTGCCTGGGTACCAGTGGAAGGAGGAGGGAACAAGTTCCTACATATTTTACTCATCCAAGGACGATCTAAGCAGGGTTTCCAGTAGCAAAAACACAGAGATTTGCCAAATTATCTGAAACACTGAAGAGTCTGGAATCTATTTGGGAAGGTCTACCTCCCCAAATAGATTCCAGGCTCTTCAGCGTTTCAAAAAGGTGGGCTCTAGGTTGCCAGAGAACAATTTCTTCAGTTGCACAATTCTTGCAACCAAAAGAGTTGATTATAATCTGAACCCACCCCTCGCCCTCCAGATTTATAATATTTATGAAGCAAATCTGGCAGCCAATATCAACGAACAATGGCTTGGGAAGGATGGACAAAGTCAACAGCTTTAAATTTGGCATTGGGCGACCAACATTTGGATTTAACACTGAAAAGATGGCCTGGAAGAAGGAGTTTCTTTACAGTCTCCTGCTCTGTTGATCTGCTAGCTGGCTTTCTCACCAACTTTCCCCCATCCTCCAGGGCCAGTCTGGGACCCTGGGCCCATGCATGCAGAAGGAAGGGCTGATTCCCTGGGGCTTGGGAGGGGTGTCAGCCTTACCTTTGAACCTGTCATCAGAGTCACTCTCACTTTCACTGTTCTCATCTGGAAAAGTAACAACAGGCATATGCACTGGCTGAGGCCCTGGCCTACAGCAAATATTTTTGGAGTCTACCTCCCAAATTATAAAAAAAAAGTTTTCTTTTAAACATTTCATTTAGTGTGTGTGTGTGTAAAAGAGAACATGTGTATGGGTTTACACATGTAGCCATGTTTGTGTTGAGATCAGATGGCAGCTTGCAGGAGTTAATTCTCTTCTTCTACCACATAGATTTTGTGAATCAAATTTAGGTCATCAGGCTTAGTGTATTTATTTTGCTGAACTATCTTTGCTGACCTGTTTGCCTCCCAACTTTTCTCATGAGGAATAGACCTTAACCTAGTCTGGGCTACTCTGAACCAATGATAAGGCATCTGAGGGCAGGAGATGAGTGGCTTGGGACCAGGATACCTCAAAGATCAGGCCTCAAATACTAATCTATATGCAAACACCTGCTCAGGGCTGCTGCGGGTGAAGCTGAGGGCCTGACCCAGCCTACCTAGATGCCTGTAATATAAAGGCCCTGCCTCAGACAATCCCAAGATTTGAAATGGAAAACAGACCACAATGCTCAGTAAGTCTGGCCTTTCCTTTTGGCCGAAGCAGACTCCCACATGTCCTAACTCAGGGCCTCATAGCCCAAAGTGTGAAGGAAACCATTCTAGAGCTAATTTCATCTTGGGCCCTTCTACTTATGTGGCCATTGTGAGGTAAATTAAAGTCAGTCTACATCTCTCTCCATTCTTGATGTTCATGGACCCCCCCTCCCAAAGGTGACCCAGTTTAGACATCAACACCTACCTCTCAATGACGCTGTCTCAAGGCTGGACATAGACAGCTTTTTTAACCTCTTCTTTCCTCTCTTGGCATTATAAATAGAGTTAATTCTTTGGACAAGCTGGTTAGAAGAGAAAAAAAAGCAGAGAAGATGAGGTAATTCTAACACCAGTTGCCCCTTCTTCGATGAAGATAAATTATGAGCCCATTCTTTCCCTTACAGGTGTGCAAGAACATTCTGCACTGGTCCAGCTGGGTCCAGAACTGGTCTTCCTATTGAAATGGCCCAGTGGAGGCTTACCAGCCATACTTGGTAAGTCTCCATCTACCCTGTGCCCCAGGAGTGGGCTCTTGCCCCAAGACAAGGACACTAAACTTAGCTCCCCAAAGGAAGGAACTGTGATCAAACTAGACAGGATGGGAGCTCCTGGGTCCCAAGAGTCATCAAACCAACTGAGACAAAGAGCTTCTCAGATATAAAAACAGGAACAAGGGACCTAGCCTTTCCTCTCTGGGCCATAACCTGGGGCCTGACAGGAAGAAGCTAAATTCTCAATATACCCAAGCATTGTTTGCAAGCTAAAAATACCATTTAGCTAAATCCTGCTGCTCTGGGCTGAGGAGCAGCCGAAGGGACACATGTGCAAATCATTGCTGAAAGCTCTTTGATTTCAAGACATAGGAAGAACTGGTCTGAATCTTTAGGTCCCTGAAAGGCCAAAGATGTTTATGTGCACAAGAATCCAAATCCAAATTCATCCATCACACTGGGTAACAAGAGTCTCAGCTAGTCTTTTCCTTCTCCCTAACATCTCAGTACTGAGCAGGAGTTTTATTGATAAGGAAAGGACCAGGGAAAAAGGAGGCCCTTAGTCTATTCAAGGGGAAGTGAGGAAGCAGTCCAGATTAGAGGAAGGAAGGAAGGAAGGAAGGAAGGAAGGAAGGAAGGAAGGAAGGAAGGAAGGAAGGAAGGCAGGCCAGAGCAGAGCTGGTTGCTTGCCCACCCACCTGCCTAGCTCCCTGGGCTCAATGTGGGACAGATACCTTGGGAATTCGACGGGCCCTTCGGCTGGAAAGCAGCTCACTGGTGGTGCTGAGGCTGTCTTCATTGAGACTGGAGGGTGAAGATGGCAGGCTCAGCTGAGCCAGCAGCATCATGTCATCATGGCTATGCCTCTTGGGTAATCGTGGCAAACGATGGCTCTTCCTTTCTGACCAGTTCCCACTGTGCAGGGACTGACTGCTAGGTTTCAGGGACAGCTGGCAGGGGAGACAGGATATGAGAGAGGGGCTGACCATAAATGTCAGTATCCATCTGCTGGTATCTAGGAATAGAAGCTAAAAGACTGGCATCCTCAGCTCTCATCAGTTCTTTGCTGGAAATTCAATATACTAGGGATTCTTTTAAGACCTTAGTTGTTCACTGTCCAGGTAAGGGCTAAATTAAATATTTGCCTCCTCAAAAAAAAGACTTATTACTTCTTCCAGAAAAAAAAAATAAAACAAAGGCTTTTGAGATCATCTAGTAAGTAGAAAGAAGAGACAAAGTGGGAAATCTTCAGGCATTTTCTGAGCTTTGAGACAAGACTAGTGACTGTGGATGAGAGAACCAGTCTTCCCACCTCCTCAGTCCTAAAGCCTTTGAAGAGGCCATAACCTGGTAGCCTGCTCTGCTATGTGATCCTGGCAGCCTAGCTATGCTTACTTCCTCCAGAGAACAGGACTATTAGGCTGTGGCCACCAAAGTGGAGTAAGGCACACCTCATATTCAAGTGGCTTCCACTGACCATGTCATCCTGGGCCGCCTCATTCTCTGGCCCTGTACATTCCCAATCAACAGCTAACATTCTTCAGTACAGAACACCTAACGGCCTAATTGACAGTGAAACTGCTGGGGAAGGAGGCACCTCCTGAGGACTTGCAAGTGTCGTCTCAATCTGCCTCTCCTCACTTTTCAGCAAATCCTCTTTCCCTTCTACTGCCAATACACCAGTCTAGCAATACAAATCCAACAGAAGCCTATGTGAACAGAGTATACAAGAAAAATAGATGCTTTATCGAAACCACCCATGATTTCAAAGTTAAAATAAAAACAACATTTATGTATTTTTCTGTAGAACATTATACAGTATCCAGGTCACATCTGTCCACTTCAAGAGTACTTGGGGAGGCCAGAGACAGCTTGTTTTCCTACCCTCCTGGCTTTTCCTGTATCCTGGCACTCTGGACCAGACCATAATGAGCTTGTCTAAAATTTCTTTGGGCCTTTCAGCTTTTTTCTCTTTCCCCTCCTTCACTCCATTCCTAAAACACTTCTTTATTGTAGTTGCTGTCTTTTCAAAGAGTTATTTATTTTATGTGCATGAAGTTTTGCTTGCATGTACATATGTGCTCCACATGTGTGGCTGCTATCTGTGGGAGTTAGAAGAGGGCATCAAACCCCCTTGAACTGGAGCTACAAAGGGTTGAATGCTGCTATGTGGCTACTGAAAACCAAACTGGGTCTTCTGAAAGAACAGCAAGTGCTTAACTGCCCTCCAGCCTGTTTTTCTTCTGTTTTGAAAGTGCGTGTGTGTGTGTGTGTGTGTGTGTGTGTGTGTGTGTGTGGGTGTGTTTGAATGTGGGTATACACATGCAGGGCTGAGCATACCTTTAGGTGTTGATCTTCACCTTCCACTGTGTTTGAGCTTCTGCACACATCCGGCTAGGTGAGCCACTAGCTGCTTTAGATTCTCCACTTTCTATCTTGCTAAAGGAACACTGGAATTATGGACCACTGCTACTGCATTTGGCTTTACACGTGTTCTGGGGCATCTGTGCTTGGGTTTTCACCTTGTACAGTAAGCATTCTACCCACTGTGCCATCTCCCCAGTCCCAAACACTCCTTATTCCTTCTTGCCAGTCTGCTCTGCTTTGTGATTCTGAAAGACTGGCCACACCTACTTCTTCCAGGGAGAGTACAGGGTTCTAGTCTCTGGTCACCAGGGCTCAAGCAAGATGGGCGTCATACTCAAGTATGTCAAGTATGCCCTCTTTACAATGGGCATACTTCCTGGGCTGCCCTTCTCTTCAGCCCCATATATATACCCACCCCTTTCCCTATAAACACTGATACTTTTCAGTATAGAACCTAAACTGGCAGTGGATCCCACATATTGCCTGGAAGGCAAGCATCCCTGAGGATATCCTACCTGCATGCCCACAAGGATTTTAACATGGTAGAAGTCCCTAGGTACACAACTCTTTCCTGAGGCAACCCTCTGCTAAGTGCTAGTGAGACAGAGACTAAGAAAGCTTGAACCCACCTAGATAGAATGGGCCCTCACACTGAGAGACTCCTGATACTGGCTGGCTCTCCAAGTCCAGCTATGGACCCTTAAATGCCAGGACTAAGATAATTTGTGGCAGAATTGCAGAATGTCAAGGCTCTAAGGAAAGCCCTGTCTTCCTGTTTGCCACCGAAGGTAGGAATACTGATAGGAGTCTGTGTGATCTCCTGGATTTCATTGCTAGAACTCAGACAGTGAGAAAAAAAGAAGGCAAGACAGGATGCCCTGAGGGCGTATCTCAATTGTCCACAGCCTTTTCAACAGGGCAGAAGGCCCTGAGTGTGCAGTTCTCTCCTGGGGCAACCTCCTCTGCTAACTGCTAGACAGGATGAGAACATACGTAGAAACTGACCCTATTGCTTGAGGACAGGCTTTCACACTGCCTAGGCTAGAATGGCATTACCTGCATGGGTGGGTTGTTGTACTTCCTGTCTTGGGGACTCCACATCCTGTGCAAAGAGTCCAAGGAGTTCTCAGACAGCTGCTGGGATTTTCGTCCAGCTCTTCGGTTCTTTAAGTCTACATCTTCATAGGGATTCTCCTTGGGAAGCTCTCCTGTAGAGGAGGCAAAGTTAAAAGAAGGGAAGCAGAGAGTGAGAGATGCAAACTTAATTCCTGTGAACCACACAGAATAACTTCTGCCTGGCCCTTCAGCTTATGAATCATGTAGCTGCTCATCTGTAGTGGGAAGTTACAGATCCTGGCTCAAGTGCAGAAGCTAAGCCCCGCGCCCCAACCTCCGCCCCACCCCACTTCAGTTCATCTCAGCTCAGCCTTGTCTGGCCACTGGTTTATAAATTTAGGGATTGCACAAGACTGTCAGAGGACAAAGCTGACACTATCAGTCTGTCCCTGGCTCTAGCTCTTCTGTTGGTAAAGCCCCCAGAAATCAGCACTTCTAGAAAGGCTTTCAGAGATCCCATAGCTGTCCATTCACTCAACTATCTGTGGGTCTCTGTAGATCCAGTTTCAGGGGTGAGCATGAAACAACTCAAAGAACTCAGGATTAGAACTTTGCTAGATCCTCCTCTAATCTATGCCTCTGTTCTCCAAGTCTTTCAGGAAGAGATCTTGTCTTAGGCAACCAGAGGGCCAAACAGCCACAGTGAGTGTTCAGTGAAACTTTGTTCCATCTCTCTTTCTCAGCATAATGTTGGCTTCCTTTTCTACTGGCAATCTCATTAAAAAGAGAATCTGCAGCATTCCCCATTTGGCAGAGACTTTTCTGCAGTGACATGGGAGTGTGAAAGTCTTGGAAGGAGTTTGGGCCAATAGAAAGGACAGTTTGTATCTCAGGACCAGTTTCTAAAATATCTGGTAATATACTGACACTACCAGAAAATCTCAGCAAAGCCCCAAACATAGTCCCTGCCCTTAAAGATTTTAAGATTTTTGAGATACACCCTTTCCTAAATTACATCTTCCTGCACTTTCTTCTCTCCCATACAAAATGAAGCTTTTCTAACATACCAAGGAGTCATGTTGCCTCACCAGTCTAATCCCAGCAGTAAAATCATGGTGGTAACAAGATCCAAAGAGAATCCTTACAATTACAACCCTCATTCCCCCTTCTCTTTTCTTTCTGTATTCCTGCTCTAGTCCCAATGCCACTGTTTGGGACCTCTGTGGCAGTTAGCATACCTAGGGAAGGATTTGCTTCTGCAGTTTGAACGGGACTGAGCTTGGGCAAATGCTGAGCCCCATGCCTATGCCACAGATGCCTGCATGTGTCTTACCCCCAGCTCCTATAGAACTAGAAACAGAAACTGTTGGGACTGCAACTCCCCTAAAACACAGTGCAGGAGAAAACCCAAATCCAGCAGGCTTAGATTCCTCAAGAACCTGAGGTTCTCCTAAACTGTAGCATCTATTTATTCAATGAGAAACCACAATGAATTTAGGAAATGCTTTTACAGAGGTGGGGGAGTGAGGATACACAGACTGCAGAAGGAGCAATTCAAATCTCTATAAACTTATGAGTCAAGAATGGGTCAAGAAAAGAGTTGGGGCTGGGTTAAGTGATTCCCAATACCACATAGTCCCTAGTGATGGAGCAGATCTTTTCCTGTAACAGCTATGCCATTAAAATGACTCTTCTCCATTCCAGGGCCCTGACTAAGTAAAGTTGGCCCAGAAGCCCTGCCTGGAGAAGCCAAACCTCAAACCCAGCATCCCCTGCATGTTTTTTTCCAGCCCTCTCCACTGTGAGATATACTTCTGCTGGGAGTGGGGTAGATTTTCTACTTCTTGGTCCCTATCTAACAAATATCTTATAAGGCTGAGAGGCGAACAGGATGAAGAATGCCAAGGTACAATTCTTCCTGATCTATAAAATAGGACCAGCATATTACTGTCCAGATTGGGGCAGAAGAAATATTTGTTTATATTTATTTCATACTCATTTAAATTGTCTTACACTAAGTGACTTGCCAGAATCCTCATTATCTCCAACCTATAGGAAGATCCATCCCAATCCTTTCTCATCAAAGGTTCTCTGAACAGTTGACATTTTAGGTTGATCAACTGACCTGGCCGTTTTATAGGATGTTTATTGTACTTGTGGCCTTTTAATACTGGATTGACATTAGCCTCCTCCAGTTATAATAAAAAATGCTTATACATTATCAAATGACCCCTAGGAAGAGGAGGGGAGTGAGGAAACAAGGGAGGGAGGGAGGAAGGGAGGATGAGCTCAGCAAGAGAGATGGATGGAACTGTCTCCCTTACCCCAACAATTGATGCTTCAGGTATTTTTAAACTTCCTAAAAAGTTTAAAAATGTTCTGAGGTCCATGCTGTGAGTCTTAAGTCGAATTATTTTTTTCCTTAATACTTCTATTTTCTTTCTCTTTCCTTCTTTCCCCAGAAGACAACGAATATAGACTCTAAAGCTCCAAGAAGGTGTTAAGATGAGGCCCAGAGAAATAGCAGATGCAGTGTGCTGAGTGTTGGTGACAACCCAGGGAAGAACAGTGGGAAAGCACCAACTTCTTCTATGTGCTAAAACTGCCCCTGTGGGAAGGCCTCAGGTGCCTGTTTTTCCTGCCCAGCCCCAGTGCCATCTTCTGTCTTCTTTAATCTAAGTAATCCACTAATAGCCTTGTTCTGCTTCCTAGTCTTGGCTGGTCCCTTATCAGTCCAAGTCCACTGGCCATCCACTCCTGGTGACTCTTAGAATTGTTTCACTGACAAATTCCAAATCATCTCTGCATGCAGAAAAGATGCCTAGAGGTAGGGATGGGCAGAGAGCAAAGGGATGGTGAGTTCTAGAGCTAATAAACAGAATTTGCCGAGAACAAGTAAACACCAAAGCAGAGACTGCGACAAAGTGCTCAAAACACTCTACAGTGAAAGCTGGAGATGTCAGAGCTGAATGGAGAAATAAGGTGACAATTTGCCAGGAACTTTTGTGAGACAGGGATTTGGACAGACTACATGCCTTTCACTTGCAACCCTGCTCACATGGCTTTCTTAGGACAGTCCAGAGAGCAGTTAGAGGGTGACAGAGTGGTAAGCCAACACTGTCTCTGAGCAGCCCCATTTTATCAAGCTCTGGCTGGGGACACCAGAAGTCTTAACCTTTCCCAGTTTTTCTGCCAAGATAAGGACCAGAGGCACCCCCAATCACTTCTGCTTTGTATTCTTTTGAAAGAGGCTTGCCAGAGCCCAATCTCAGCACACTGATCCTTCTAGAAGAAGATTCCAGGTCCATCAGGTCCTAGTCTGACTCCTCCCTACAGCTCTTTGGGATGTCACACAGGAAAACTTCTTTCTTCATTCCTCACTCCTTCATAAACTAGAATAAAGTTTAGAAAGGAGTGCACCTATCCAAGATAACCATAACACTCCAAGTTTTCTGGGCTGTACACACAGCTAAGGCCTTACGTCTGTAGCTGTCTTTCCTAGCCATTCTCTGGTTCCAACTGACTGTTTCTTCTGAGTCTCTGCTTTTCTCACTCCCTCACACAGGAGGGAAAAGAGACAGGCTGGGGGCCCAGTTCCCTTGGGACTGTTACCTTCATTCCCAACAGCCCTGGGCACCTTTCCCTATGCCACACCTCTTGGCTGCTTTGCTTCCTACTGCACTATCATGCTGGTAGGTTTCCTCTATTCCTTACTGTTGCCCAGCCTCAGGATGGGTGAATGAGAGACGGCAGAGTAGAAGCTGAAAAGGCTTTACTGGCAGGACTTGCTGGCTCTGTTCTGACTTGTATCCCACTGCAGTCCTAATATCCTGGAAGTTCTCACTGGGTCTGTTAACTGATAGGAGTAGGAATCTTAGCAGGAAGGCAACCCAGGTTCCTTGGTCAGGCAGAGGCCACTCTACATAACTCCTAGCAAGCTGCTTCCTAAGGTACATTTTCCAAAGTCAGGGTCAGAATTCGGCTGGCTGTATAGAATAGCAGTATATGCCAAGTTGGACAGACAAAAATTAACAGCAGAAAGCAACAAGGCAACAATTTTCTTTTTGAACCCCAGTATTGCAAATTAACAGGCTTTGACATCTTAGCCTTTCTGGAGTACTCCACCCAGCACCCTTCAGGCATCATGCCTGATACGGGCAGGAGGCCAGTAAATTCTCCCAAGTGTCTTGCTCATGTTTGCTCATAACAGAGATGACCTATTAGCCTCTGGGCCAATGGGCTAGAATCTCTATCAGTCCAGGAACACCAGCCCAAAGGAATGTACCCAAGATGGAGATTTAGCGTGGGTGCTCTCTGCTTCCCTCAAAGATCCACCATCAAAGGCCCAGAACACAACTTCCTTTATCCCAGTTGACCTGAAGCACTCCAAAGCTGGACAATCCAGTTGGAACCAGAAACAACCGTTATTCCCAGAGCAAAGTCTGGGTAAGCCCAAGGTTCCTAAAAGTCAAGAGCCACTGACTAATCCTAGGCAAAAAATAGAAGTGGCTTTCAAAGTTCAGCAACAAAAGAGCTCTGGAAGCCTCCAAAAAGGCTTCACATTCTTGAACCTCTTTGAAGAAAGTAGAGAGAAAACCAACCAGAATCTAACAGAACTATTCTCCCTTGTATTTTTTTCCTCTAGCCTCTCTGGTTAAGCCATAAGATTCAGACTGAGCTGCTGTAGAAGATACAAAATACACCTAAGGCATTGTTCTAACAGACTCTTAAAGCAACCACCACTCCAATCTGCAAAATATAAACATCTAAATCAGTGTCTGGGTCACTGTCTTACCCTCTTTACTATGCCCTCCCCCTTCCTTCTTCCCAGGGCTCCAAACATTCAAATGTTAGGTGAGTGATTAAGGAAGATGCCCAACCCCAACTTTACCATGTATAACACTTCCCCTTAGCTTCACCTCATTCATCCAAAAAGCAACCAAGCAGCCCCCATGTTTGTCTTTTCACGTAATATCTCAAGGGAGAAAAGTCTCCTTAACACATGAGAGACAGACATCCTCCTCTCCTAAAAAGGTCCAGAAAATAGCCTCTAAAACTTTTCTCCCAAAAAGGATCTTGAATCATGAATTAGTGTGTGTTTGTGTGGTGTGTGTGTGTGGGGGGGGGCATTGCCACGTGTCTCCTCTTAGTTCAGTTGTTGGGCAGCACAGAAAGGCTTCTCAAGGCTTGTAAAAGAACAGTAAGGATCACAGTTCTTCCTGCCAGTTGTGTTACAGTGATAACAGAAAAACAGCTTTCTGCCATCATACAGCAGTCATAATGGATACTCCCAAGAGCCCTGAGCAGCAATGATAACATTACAATTTCTGCCAACTGGAAAGTCCCTGTGATAGGAGACAGGGAGGTGGGACAAGGATAAAAAGATGAAACAACAGAGCTGTCTCTTTACTCATTAGAGTTTTTCTTCCATTCTAGGATACTGTATCCGTGTGAAAAGGTAAGGAAACACAGAGCAGGCTGGATGTTCTCTGATAAATGAGCTGGAGATGAAAGTTGTACAGCACTGTCATTTCACGAGTAATAGAGAAGAGGCTTCTCTCCCCAGGCTTTCCTTTTGTCAGAGGGCTCTTGTTCCTGCAGTGTTACTGCTGCAATGTACCTTTTCACGATACATGCTATATACACCATACTTAGGCAAACAGTATGTTTGTGGGTCTGAATATAGCTACTATATGCCAAAAAGCACTAGCCCAGTAACTGGTAAAGAGGAAACTATGGGCGGGGGTAGTGAGATAGCTCAGTGGTTAAGAGCTCCAGCTGCTCTTAGCAGAGAATAAGAGTTCAGTTCCCAGCAGGGAATTTGATGCCCTCTTCTGACTTCCACAAGCATCAGGCAAGCACATGGTGCACACACATACATGCAAGCAGAACATTAAGACACATAAAATAAATAAGGCTAAAAAATTAAGGAGAAAACTATAAAGAGATGGCATAGATCAAATGGGGAACCAGATGCCCCTACTTCATACGATTCTCATATCCTAAAAATCTGGAAGGCTCTCTCTACTGTGGCCACTATTCTCTCTAATGTTAATTAAGACCACATTCTCCTAATTTAAGGCCTGAGATAGAACAAGACATCAATTAAATGAGGACAGTATGCTGTTTCTCCCTGCTTTGTTGATCTATTCAGAGACACATTTTGCACAGAATCAAAGCCTCCCTGCCCATGAAGAAGATAAGGATAAGACTAAAATGAATATCAAAAACAGCTAGATGGTAGTACATGCCTATAATCCTGGCCGAAGAATTTATCATTCCATGTTAACAATCTGAGATGCATATCAAAAGACAAACAAAAACACACAAAATAAACCAAACATGAGACTCTGTTGTCCATTCCTTTGTAGACCATTGAAATCAAGCCTGCTAACACCATGCTTACTCCACTGCTGGGAGGCAGCTCCTCTTAACAGTACTGTTCTGCTACTCTTCAGGGGTGGGGGATTGGGGTTTGGGCAGAGGAATGAAGGGTTCCAAGCTATATTCATCAGGCGTTTATATAGAAAACAGCCCTGAAAGGTGAAGATAGTGTCTATGCCTCAGCCAGAGGCAATCTATTTCCTTAATAGAAACTGTTCTTGTAGGGCAAAGATTGAACAGATTTACTAGAAGTCCTTAAACAAACAAACAAACAAACAAACCCTGGTATCTCCTAAATGTGGAACACAGACTCATAGTGTTTGAAGCCCCTACTGAGACCTTCTTCACAAAGCCACTGTGGCCAGAGAGCCTGAAGGAGCATGGAGCTCATGCTGCCTGCTGTGCCATCAGTAACAAGGCCCTTTGTGACACAGCAGTCTTCTGTCTTTTTCTAGAATCTATGAAACTGGGATATGCATCTGAATGTCAATGTCTCCTCAAAACTCATACCAGAAAGCTGTGTGAGTAGGCCTCTGGGAGGGAATTAGGTCAAGATGGCAGCGCTCTCACAGAGGATTAGTGACACATACCTGCAACCCCATTGAACTCCCTCACCCCCTTCAGCCATATGAGGACACTAGAAACAACAGATGTCTTTGAACCACGAAACAGGCGTCTACCAGACATCAAATCTGCCAGTGTCATATTCTTAGCTCATTTAATCCTATTAACATTTTTTGAGATTTTATTTGTATTTTATACATATGAATTTGCCTGAATGCATATCTGTGCACCACATGTGTACAATACTTGTGGAGCCCAGAAGAAAGCATAAGATCCCTTGGAACTGCAGTTACCAACAGCTATGGGCTGGGAATTGAACTTGAGTCCTCTGGACGTGTGTCCAGTGCTCTTAACCACTGAGCCATCTCTACAGTCCTCCTAAGAACAATCTTAAGCAGTATTACTATTAGTGTTAATGCTCAGATTCTCACATTGCTATGGTTTTTTCAGAAAAACAGAGCCCTACAATAGTTAAGTGACTTGCCTAATGGTACATAGCTAAGGAAGAATATTTGTTGGTCTCTCAAGTCTTCCATAAACAAAACAAACAAACAAAAAAATGATGTCATTTGTCCCTTCCTGTGGTACCACAGTCCCTCTGGCTTTCAGCTCACTCAGGGTCAGGCTCAGTCAACTCAGCTGCTCTGTTGTCATTCCCAGGAATTATGTAAGGTGGAAGGAACCATGATGTTCCACATGAGGTGAGCCTATGAGCATCTCTTCTAGTAGCTGTTCTATAGCCAACAAAGAAGGCCCAGTTATACCACTTCCATCATTGCTTACCCACAATATCTTCATAGGCATTCTCTTCTAAAGTGCTTTTGGATCCAAACTTAGGTTGACTCTCAGTACCATTCTCAGTGGGAGAAGAGGGGTACAGGGATTGGAGACTGGACGCATCCTCAAACTCAAAGGATTGTCTGTGGATAACAAGAGCAAGAGTCATGTTGGCTGGACAGATCCCTCTGTGTTGCTGGGAATGGCCATGGGAAACAGTAAGGATCAGAGGCCCTGCTCCTCAAACCTGTTACTGTTCACCTGAGTAAGAAGACAGGTAGTCTGAAGGGCCCCAGTATGAGTGACTGTAATATGGTTAATCCTTATAATACCAGTATGAGGCAATAACTTCACAGTTTAAGAACATCTTATCTGGCTAGTGATATGGTAGCTTGGCAGAAAAAGGCATTTGCCACCAAGCCTAATGAACTGAGTTCAATCCCCAGGACCCATGTGGTAGAAAGAGAACTAACTCTTTTTTTTTTTTCCTTCCTTCCTTCCTTTTTTGTTTGCTTTTTGTTTTTTTGAAATAGGGTCTCTCTATGTAATCTTGGCTGTCCTGGAACTTCTGTAGAACAGGCTGGCTTCAAACTCAGAGATCTGTCTGTCTCTGCCACTGCACTGCTGGGATTAAAGGTGTGCACCACCATGCCCAGCTGAGGACGAATCAACTGTGGTAAGTTGTCCTCTGACCTCCACATGCATACCTAAAATAAATAAATGTAGTCAATTAAAAACAAAAGCAAAACAAAACTGTGGTCAGATGCCACGTCAATTATACCTTTTTTGCATCATCTCACTGGCCTTCAGGTAGTGCTGGCATTTGCAAACATGGAGATTGAAGGTACAGAGGCAGGACTTTCCAAGGCTGCCTGCTTCTAGAGTCTAAGCTTCCAATCATAAGTCTGGCTCCTAAGACCTAGAAAGCATCCTTCCTTAGAAGACTCTAGCATTTCCAAAGGAATATAGTTCGAACAGTCTCCCAGCAAGGGCTCTGTAGGCAGGCCATAAGGGCTTAACACTGAAGGTCATTTCCAGGGCTGTTAGAGGGGTGAAGGAAATGGTACAGATGGTTTGTTGACAGAAGAAGGGCTGAACCCTTAAAAAAAGGTCAGACCTCTTCTTCAGTAAAACCAGTACCCTGTTCCATTCTATCCCCCAGATATCCCAACACTGAAGAACTGTAACCACAGCTTCTTGGATTCTCAGTCCACAGTACTTCTTCTTCTCCACCCATCTGAGTTGGGATGCTGGCTGAATCCTCTTTCTCCAAGGCATGTCCCTTCCAGTGAAGGCCAATGAGATGACACATGAGCAGTTGCATTTAATATGGCATCTGACCACATTTCATTTTTTTATTGTGTTTACTTATTTTAGACATGAATGTGGAGGTCAGAGGACAACTTATTGGTTGTCTTTTCACCACACAGGTTCTCAGTTCTCTGAAATTCCCCTTCATGTCTCTTAGGGAAAGAAGGGAAGCACGACTGAATCCTTCTTATCCATGAGTGTCTTCCTCTTTCAATGATATATTTTCTTTCTTGCTTATTGAATACTCATCTTGAGAGCCCTGGGATGCATGTCAAGGACCATCCTCTTAAGCTCACCTGGCCGCTTTGCTGCATTCAATCTAACACAACACTTCTTATCCTAGCCCTCTCCTCTTGCACTCCCATGATAAATCAGCTCTAGTTTTTATACACTCCTGGCAATTACTTTTCAGGCTTAAATGAAGGATTCTTTTTTTTTAAAGGCTGTTCTTAACATTTATTATTTTCAGACAGGGTATCTATATAGCCCAGCTGGCCTAGAACTTACTATACAGACCAGACTGGCCTCAAACTCAAAGAGATTGCCTACCTATAACTATCTGAGTGTTAGGATTGAAGGTATATGCTACTATGTCCAGCTTTAACTGGTCTTTTAAATGCCAGGGTTTTTCAGAATTCTGTCATTTGGTCTCCTTCCCTCATATGTACAAATATCCATGGCCAAGCACTTTATTCCTGGTGCCTCATAAATTTCTGTCTTGGGCCCAGACTTCCCAACTAAATAGTCAAATACTATGTGAGATCAAGTCTTCATTGGTTTAAGAGTAGATTTGACATCTTATGAAGGTAGCACGTTGAAGGCCAACACACTGCCTCTCATCAAGATAAGTATAGTCTATTTCTTTCCAGGATTTTGTTGTTATATGTGCATGTATGTACATGTTCATGTAGGTGTGGAAGCCAGACATGGTTAAGCCACACATGGTTAACTTCCATGATTATTCTCCACTTTGTTTTGTTTGTCTGTTTTTAAGACAGGGTCTCAGTCTGTGTGGCCTTGGCTGACCTGAAACTCAATATGTAGACAAGGGTGGCCTCAAATTCATAGAGATCCACCTGCCTCCTGAGTACTGGAATTAATTAAAAGTGTGTGCCATTCTTATGCGCCTTGTTTCTTTGAGACACAGTCTCCGGAGCTTATAGATTCAGCTAGGCTGGCTAGCCTACAAGTTCCAGGGCTCCATCCCCACTGGCTGGGGTTGCCATGTACCATGCCCAGTTTTTACATGGGTGCTGGAGATATGAACTCTAGTCATCATCCTTGTGTGGAAAGCACGTAACTGACTGAGGACTGAGCCAGCTCCCCAGCCTCTCTTCCTCAGAAATTTTAATGCTTTCCCCACCCATGTTTGGTTGCATACAATAAATATCTAGTTTTCATTTCTTTAAAATAAGTCTGTAAGAAACACAGCTGATACAACAAAAATAAACTTAATATCACACATTCCTCAAGAGGAACACATTCTAGGTTCAGACAAGCAAGAACAACAGCTTACACTTTCTGAACTGTTTCCCCTTTTCTCCAAACGCGCAAGCTAAAGTCTGTTAAATTCTTGATGAGATTCCACCATTTATAGTGTGTGTATGTTACGTGAAACTGTGATATGTGAGAATGCATGTAACATCTTCAGGTTGATCAACATCTCCCTCTTGTTACCTAGCCAAATGTTTTTTTGTTATTCTGCCTCTAACTCAGTGATTGCCTCCAGGACTAGCTGCCCCTCACTTCTGAGCTGATTTAGATGCTTCTTCTCCAAGTCCCTGCAGTGGTTTCTGCACGACCAGGGATTATGGAACACATCGTTGGTATCTACGATTTATCTACATAGCACATCTTCAAGCCCTTGAAGAAAGAACCATGTTTTACTTGCCTCTGTACCTCTCAGCCCAGCACAAGGCTAGGTGCACAGCAGGTTCTAGATGGATGCTAACAGAAATAGATGACTATAGACAAAGTAAGCGCACTTGGCAGGTTGGTAAATAAACTAAGGAGCAAGTAAGCATTCTTGGGATAGGCCAAAGCATAAGACTATATATAACCATGGGGTGTGATGGCTCAGGAGTCTGAAACTTTGTGACTCTTCCTCTACGTGGGAAAATGTCTGTATTTGAGATGGGATATGCTGGAAGAAGTGTGGAGACTGGTAACACACTAGAAGATTCCCAGAAGGGAAGCAAGATGAATGCACACCCAGTATTAGGAAATGTAGGTAAAAGGTCAGGATTCCAAAGAACGCTTGCTTCTAGCCTGCCAGACTCAGATTAACAATACCTTTCAACTTTCACTAACTCTAGTTTCAGAGTCACACCTAGGAGCTGTCCCTGTTAGTTTGGGGTCAAAAGGACCAAAACTAACAAGGAACCAATGGGAGCTCCTCAGAAAAAGTAGTTCTTAGATTTGGCCAATAAGCTGGTGAAATATTTTTCCATGTGTCTCTCTTTTGAGAACCAAGAATCACCCTTTGAAACAGAACCAGGGTACCTGTACAGACTGGAGGCTCTCAAGAGAGAAGAATCAAACTAAATTTGTCAACATTCTTATATTAATGATAAAATACAATCCTATGGCAAAGTTTCACTTTAAGAAATTAATTTTTGAGCCAGGTGTGATGGCACACACCTGTAGTCCCAGCACTTGCAAGGCAGAAGCAGGCAGATCTCTGTGAGTTCGAGGCCAGCCTGGTCTACAAAATGAGTCTAGGACAGCCAAGGCTACACAGAAAAACCCTGTCTCAAAAAATGAAGAAAGGAAGAAAGGAAGGAAGGAAGGAAGAAAGGAAGGAAGGAAGGAAGAAAGGAAGGAAGGAAGAAAGAAAGAAAGAAAGAAAAAGAAAGAGAAATCAAATTTCGTGCAGGCACTTCATGTGGTTGTGAGGTTAATATCCCATCAGTCCTTCAACAGTGGCCTCAAGAAGACCCAAAATGAAGGGAGTTTTGACCTTTTAATGATGGATTAAGGAATCACTAATGTAGCAGGCTCTACACCAACAAAACTAGTGAACACCTTCAGTCTTCAGCATTTGCAAGAGTGTCTTTCATCCCCTCTCTTCCACTCAAGAGCAAAAGAACATGCACGGTGGTGGTACATGACTTTAAACCCAGCACTTAGGAGGCCAAGGCAAGATGATCTCTGTGAGTTCAAGGCCAGCCTGGTCTATAGCAAGAACCATTTCTCTGTCACAACTGCCATAAGTTATTCAGTGCTTCAGAGATGTAGCACACTCCTGTGATCCAAGCATGTGATCTCTTGCTTCTTCTATTTAAAAGAGTGGCATTGGGTCCCACTGACACAGGAGGGCATGCCTTACCTGTTCTGTGACTTCCGGTGACCTCGCATGTCCTTCTTTGGTCTCCTGGTGACTGGTGGGGCTGGGGTGGAAGGCAATGGGGGTGGAGCAGCAGGTGTGGGTGAAGGAGGTAGACCATTGCTTGGCTTAGTCTTGGGGTTCTTGTCAGCCTCGTATTCAAAGGTACGCTTGGGTTTGGGAACAGGGTTCACAGTGGGATCAAGGGAGCTCTTTGAAGGCAGCAGCTGGGGGCTAGGGCTATTTCCAGGGGTCCCTGACTTCATGGAGCCACTGCCTTCCCGGTCTAGGGGTAGGCCTGCCTCCCCCACAACTCCAGCCACTCCTCCTGCCCTGCTGCTGGAGCTCACACTTGCAGTCCCTGTTGGTTCCTCCAAGGTGCCCAAGGTTCCAGTCTTTCTCCTCCCATGGTCTACACTGTAGCAGCTGCTGGGGAGCTGGGGAAGACCCCGGCCAGGCTGCTCCTTTAGGGCTTGTTCAATTTTCTGGATCCGGCTCAGCACGGCTGAGCTCTCTTTCCTGCTGCTGTGACCCCTGAGCAAGGCACTAGGCTCAGTCCGGCCTGGCCGCTTCTCCAGCCGGTATGAAGAGTCCCGTACAGTGAGTGCCTCTCCTTCCTCCTCTGTCTCAGGGTAGGAACACTCAGAGAAGGTCCTGCTCATCCTCCGGAGGCCTTTGAAATCAAAGGTCTTTTCTGAGCTGCAGGGGGATGGCACCACACTGGGGCAGCCCACACTGGGGCAGCCCTCACTGGCCGCCCACTCGCTCCCAGAACCCTCCCGCTTCTCTCCACACAGACTCATCCTGGGTGAAGCCTCTCGGCGACCTTCCCATGCTGAAATCTTCTCCCGGATACCCAGGCTATGGGCTCGGGTACCAGTGCAACTCAGCAAGACACTCCGCGGGCCAGCTCCTGGCCCGGGAAATGGGGTGCTCTGGGCGAGAGGAAGGCAAGCAGCCACACCCTCTACATCCTCAGCTGCACCCTGGACAGTCTCCTTCTGGTCCTCTCTTTTTCGCACTGAAGGGGTTCTGTTCAAATAGCTGAAGCTGGTAGCCTTGAGGGTACAGCTGGGTGGTGAAGTCTCTGGGGAGGGATCTTGAGGGCTTAAGGGTGAAGGATTGCGAGAATGTCGGTCCTTGAGGAGCACTTGGGGATTAGAGTGGCTGGGGTACCTGCAGGCTGAGGTTTCACTATCACTGAGTGGGTAGATGGGACTTCTTGGTGGATACAAAACTGGAGGTGGAGAGACTGACTGAGACCTAAGAACAAAAAGGAGAAAAAAAGAGAAGAAAATGGTGGTGAGTAGTCTGAAAAAATGGGATACATTTCATGTTCTGTTTCTACAGAAGTCTCAAAAATACTCTAAAAGTGCTCCCCTTCCCCAACCACCACTAAGATAAAGACAACAGTATCATGAGTTCAAGGTCATCACTGGCCTTGAAACTCACAATGAGTTTGAGGACAGCCTGGGATAGTGTGTTCAAAACAAAAGAAAAAAGTTCTCTTCATGTAATATATATCTTCAAGGCTGTCCTCAAGTAGAGAACAGCTCTTTACTCAAAGCAGGCCTAGTTCCATGAGCCTTTCAGTCTAGCTCATCTTCAGAGACCTAAGTAATGTATGGAGCAGAAGCCTGTTCTATAATAGACTAGAGAATCCTAAGAGTCTGCCTCTGTCAACTATAGAACAGTAAGACCAGTCATGTGCTGCTACAAGGCCAGCTGGCTCTCTGAGAAGAAAGCAGAGACTAGTAACATTGCATTTTACATTATAAACATTCCTGAACTCTCAATATGATATCAATGAATGTGCAGATAAGAAGAGATGCTCATGACCAACTTTCACGAGCTGCAGCAAAATAGGTCCAACTGTTATTCCCAAATATATATTACCAAACTGTTTGGCCTTTAAACCCTTGAGTTTCTCCCCTAAGACTGTGTTACTGATACAAGATTCTACTATCCTGACCATAACTGGGACCTCAAAGACCTCACAAAAGTTAGGCAGGACCCTCAAGAAAGAGTTGTTTCCACTCTCTCAGAAGACTCTTCATGCAGCTCTACCCTATAAGAGTGGCTTCACAGCCAACAAGCCAGCTTAAAATCCACACACAGATCTCAGCAAATGTTCCTAAATACACGAACTCATTTAACAAACATGAAAATTCTATTAGGCTATTATTATGTATTACTATCTTCATGCTGTAGATAAGAAGACACAAAGACTTAGAGTCTTGACCCACCCAAGGTTACTAGGATGTTAAAGTAGTGAAGCCACTATGAATGTACACGCTACATGTTGCTCTCTAAAGAGAAAACAGTACCAAAGGGTTCTAAGTCCTAGCAAAGATTCACGCTTGTATTTGCACTGCTTATAATAACTAACTAAAAAGCAGAAGTATCCTACTCATGACAAAGATATCCATGATGAATAGAGTAAGGCAATGTGGTACATACACACAATGAGTACATACACATAACAGACAATATGGTACATACACTAAATGGGGTTTTACTCAGCCATAAAGAAAAATGAAATCATGATATCTGCAGAAAAATAGACAAAATTAGAATTTCATTTTTGTTTTTTGAGACAGGGTTTCTCTGTGTAACAGAGTCCTGGCTGTTGTGAAACTTGTACTGTAGACCAGGCTGGCCCTGAACTCAGAGATCCACTTGCCTGAGTGCTGGGATTAAAGGTGTGTGCCACCACACCTGGCTTAATATTTGTTGTTGTTGTTGCTGCTGCTGCTGTTATGTTTGTTTGAAATTCTTATATTAAGCAAAGTGACCCAGATATAGAACCACATGTTTTCTCATAAATTTGCACACACATTCATACATAATACATATATTATGGGGGTCATGAAACTAGAAGAGGCACTATGAAAGGGACCATGGAAGGGAAAAAAAGAGGTCTTAGGGTAGGAAGAGAAAGTAATAGAAAACATGTATTATCCAAATTCCATAATGGAACCCACCACTTTTTATGTTAATTTTAAAACTTTTTAATGGAGAAGAAATACAAAACAACCATCTTTGCAAACTCTTAGGCCACCAAGGATAGCTCACCAGAAATCCCCTACAGCACTGGACACAGCCCGGCCTAGAACACAAATTTATAAGCATCAGGGGGACTTCCCTGCCAGAGATCTTGTCTAAGTTATGTGGCCTCTACCTATAAAGCCTATGAATGTTGAAAAGAAATGACAGGAAAAGGTAAAGGTGAGTGAACTTACTGAAGAGAGCTTTGAGCAAGCTTCCTCTTCACATTTTTCTGGTATCACATTTTCTGGTATTATGATAATCACTGCCAACCTTAAGAATTCTTTCCAAACAACAGTAGTTCAAAGGTGGTGGGATTTTGCTAACACTGAACTCAGAGAAGATCTGAGTGATCAAAAGCTGGTATGTCTAGCTTCATAGCCTCCAAGATGCCATGCCATCTCCAGGACACCAGCCAGCTGCTCTGAGCCAAGTGGCTGTCACCACTTGCTACATACAGAAAACTAGAGCTCTGGTGAGTCAAGGATTGGCCGACAATTCCCTGTTGTGTCACAGACTCTGACTGCCCTGATCAACAGGAAACCTCAACATGCTTAAGTTGTTTTCAAAAGGGCTAGTCACACAAGAGCCATTGCACGTGAATGTAGGCATAGATGCGAGAACTGTAGTTCACAGCCAAGCTTATGACAAAGAGCCTGCTCAGTGAGGAAGTAGGGACAGAAGCTTCAACCCTCTATAGTAGGCACTATCAGAACAGTGGGCCTAAAGAGACCCTGGCCTACATACAATGGACAGGGGTTCATTGTCTCTCTTGTTTTATAAAGCCACAGATACAAAAGGGCATCAATCCAGCCCCCTACAAAGATAAGTCCTTGGGTTCCACAGAGAACTCTGTTTTGGTGATTCTCAACTGGAGATGGGAAAAGTGCCTCCACAGGTCTCTGCTCCCAGGTTAGATAAAGGCTCAGAAGAATTTGTCACTTCTCACAGAAGCCTTAGGAAAGATAAAACAGGGCTGTGGACAGAGGTCAGGATGCTTGGAGCTTTGTGAGAAAAAGTTTGTACATTAGGTAGCATCACTGACATATGAGAAGATACTCAGCCTTGGTCTTCAGTTTCATTTAGCTGTCTTTTATCCCTAAACAGGTTGGGAGAGAAAGTAAGACAATCCCTTGCCTGTCAGGTGAGAAAAAATGATGGCCAAGATAATGACAGTGCCTAGATCCAGATATTCTCACAAACCCAACCCCCTGAGCAAACCCTTCTAGCTGCATGACTAGGATAATGTCAATTTATAAAAGTGAACACTATGAATAACTCCCAAACAGCAAGAGAAGTATAAGACAAAAGCAAATACAAAGCAACTAATACACACCCAAGATGCTGCTCTTTGATGGCTTACTCTGTTCTTAGCCCCAGAGCCTGCTCCGGAGGAGGCAGCCACTGTGGAACTAACTGGGTACCTGATGTGCCACAGCTTGTCATTAGCAGCCAGTTCTGCTGCTTGACACAGACATAGATGCCAAGACCATGGCATACAACTTGCCAAAATAAACATTTTCAGGAGACAAGGAGTTAGAAAAACAGATAAAGCAAAGAAGGTGGGAGAAAGTACACAGGAAATTATACATATAAACATATAAGTATGGAGATGAATATTTAAGACAATGTCTTAAATATTTATATAATATATATAAATATATAATATATATAATTATATATATATTCTTTTTTTAAAAGGGTAGGAACTGAGGTATGGAAATAGAACAAATTTAAAGAGAAAGCAATGTTTGTGCATGTTTCCACACATGCAGGCAGAAGTTGTGACTTAAAATGAAACAACTCCCTTTGCTACAAATATAACTCAACTCCAATGTGGGCCCTGTGCCCACCTGCCTTCCCTCTCTCCCTCTCTCTCTCCTGAGGATAGGGTCTCTTGTAGCCCAGGCTGGCCTTGAACTCCCTATGTAGTTGAGGTTGATCTTTAATTCCTGATCTTCCTGCCCCCATCTCCTAAGTGCTGAGACTATAGGCATGCACAACTGATTGTCTTAATTGCAGGACGCATTTGTATCAAAAGATGGCCTACATATTGCTAAGTACACCCACAACTTTTTTTGGAGAGAAGGCTGTCAGCGCACTTCTAAACTCAGCTTGCTTGAAGTTACAGGTGGATCTGGCGTGGGGAGAGTTGAGGGGATATCCAGGGGGATTACTGTATCTAAGTAAAGACCAAGTAGGAAGGAAGCATTTGTGCCTAGGTGCTCGTGTAACAACCCCAAAGGGATCAGGATGTGCTGTGAACACTCGAAAGTGAGCCTTCCTTGGGAGAGGGGTATCTGCTCAATTAATGTTTGGTGTGCTTCAAACAAAACTGCCTTGGAGTTGGTCACTAACCATTCTAGGGCTGCTTAACTGTGTAAGCATAAGGTTTTTGTATAATTCAAATGCTGATTTCTGTACTACCTATATCAGGTTGCAGTCCTTGTTCTAAGAATCCCCTGTCTCAATATTGTGTAAACATTGCTCCCCAATTGTTCCCTGATATGGCAATAAGGCAGTTTAGAGCCAATCACTGAGCAGGGGAGAGAAAGGGGTTGGACTTCCTGCCAGCCAGGGGAGGAGAGGTTAGAGGAAGTAGGAGATTGAGCCAAGAGACATGAGGAGAGGAGCTGAATCAATGAAAGCTACAAAGTAAAAGTATCTCTGGGATGTATGCTAGGAGAAAACCAGATTATTTTAGTGGGTTAAGAATAGAGTAACAACAGGTCAGTTATTGTATTGTGAATATTTTAAAAAATAATAATTTTTTTAAATTTTATTTTATGTGCATTAGTGTGAAGGTGTTAGATTCCTTGGAATTGGCATTACAGAAAGTAGTGAGCTGCCATGTGGGTGCTGGAAATTGAATCTGGGTCCTCTGGAAGAGAAGGCAGTGCTTTCAACCACTGATCGTCTATCTAGCTCCCATACTGTGAATCTTATGATTAAACAAATATTTAAAAAAGTTTCAGTTATTTGTTTGACAGCTGGGTTAAGAGAGAAATTGAAAAACAAACAGTTTTATAAAAATGACAATAACAGAACTGGGATGTGCTGATAACACCCCAAGAATGAGCATTCTTCAACCACTCAGTGATGGCCTCAACTCTGGGGATGGCATTCCCAATGTGCTACACTGTACTGTGAACACAGGGGAGAAGAAAAAGGAGGAACACAGTGTCAGTAAGACCAGTATTTTGTTCCTTGGCCTA